TAGGTCTGTGAGACCATATGCTAGCGAGTAGTCCAAATAAGAAGACAAGATAAATAATAATTAAGAAAAAATTACTCTTATCTTTAATCTATGACAACATCGCACATTGAATGTTATATCAGATGTATTGAGAAGCATTATAAAGTACAAGTTTCCGCGGTTCTAATGATCTCTCATCTATGGATCAAGAATAATTATCTTCGAGATTGTAGCTATTTAAATTTTTTTTAATTTTAATAGAATTTATTCGAGTTTTAAAGTAAATTCCACCTACAGCAATCTAAACATCAATGATATATCAGAGATTCTAAATCTAAGATTTCAGAAATTTTTTAGTGGAAATAAAATTGATAAATTGCAATACATTAAAAATTACTTACGCGATAAAGATTTACAGAGAATGACAATATGCAGACAACAATTGCCAGCAGATATTGTGTCGCTGCATTACTTGTGGCTAAATTAATATGCCTTCCAAGTATAATATAAAATACGTGAAAAATTAATATTTTTAAAAAATTTATTATTATTACTATTTTTCATAATATTTTAATTTACGAACTTGATTGCGTCGTTATGAATGTCCACAACTCGATGTATGTCTATAAGTTTCAATTCTATTTGCTTGGATAGAGGCATACTGAGATCCTCAATGATTTTTCGTATTCGATAACTAAAAAATATTCGAGATTTCGATTATCTTATTTTGGCATATAAGATAAAAATATGTGCAACATAATGAAGTAACTTACCTGGCGATATGAAATTGTCTGCATATATAATAACTAAAAATATTAGTGAGCAATTCTGTACCCATTATACATAATAATCCCAATGATACATTTAACATGCAGTTTAAGATTAAAAAAATTTTAATATACAAGCTTTGATCGTCGAAAAGAAAGGAGACATTGAAATGAACGCGAGATTCGTTTAAAGGCATTATGGAATCCAATATTATCGGATTCACTAGGAATATGATGCTCGCTGCAATAAAAGCGAAAGTCACGCCTAGAATTTGAAAGAGTTATTTAATATTTCAAAGTCATATATAAATAATCTTGAATTTTTCAAATTACTTTCATTTTGAGTAAAGAATATAATAATTTTTAGAAAAAGTTATAATAAAAGGTTAGAAAGTAATTATAAAAATTAATTAATATACTGAAAATTGTAGAATATTTCCCAATATTGCTATGTAATATAATTTTTTTTTAATGGATATATAATTACAGATAACTATAGATATATAATATAAGTAATATCACAATGACAATAAAAGTTATTTATTGTTAACTAAATTTTACGAATTAATATGCACAATATGATTTCTTACAGCCAAAAAAGTAGATGATATGACTAGAAATATCAAGATATTTCGTTTGTATTTGTATTTCTGTCGTATCTTGTAACGAATGTTCTTCTGTACGTATGTGATTGAATAAAAATTCAACCTGTACAAAAAAACATATACATATGTATAAAGATTCGGTGTTTGAAATAATTTCTGAATTTTACTTACATGTGGAAAATTTGTAATATAGTAAATATATCGTAAAAAAAATAGCAGTAAAGGAAAAGTCTCAGACAACGTAAGAATATAATTTCGTAATGTAATTTCAGATTTTAGCAGCATCGTAATCTAAAAGATTATATTTAAATTACGATTAAACATGAAAGAAAAAAATATTTTTTTAATCTTTAAATATTAAAGAAAATAATTTTTTTAATATACTTGTTAATTTTGATTATTTAAATAAAATCATTTTCAAATAATATTTTTATAGAAAAAAAAATATTTTAAATTAAAATATAATATTCTGATATTAATGTAATTAATAATTTTTGGATCAGCATGTTAAAATAACATATAAATTATTACTATCGATAAAGAATAATAGAATTTTCATTACCTGAAATATTACACTGCTAAGAAAATACAATAATAAACATATTCTCTGAATCCATACATAGATTGAGTTGTCGTATGGCCATAGTCCTATAATTTTCAACACCATACGATAGATGCGATATTGTTTGTCGAAAACATCCATCTTCCCAGTTAGATATAGACTGCAGTGTAGAATTCGAAAAATAATTTTTCTACATCTCGGGCTAATATATTATTTACGCGATTATTTTTCTGTCTTGCATTTTCACAGTATGGCTTGTCTATAGTAACAGACTATATAATGTCCAATAATTACGATAAATTGCAATCGATTTTCGCATTTATTACTAATTCTCCATAACAGATATATTTTCATTCATTTTTTTTTTCTTTTCTTTTTTCTTATTTTTTTTGATTTGAAAGAAACGAAGCTTTGTCAGTAATCTTACAATCCTTAGTTGCTTACGATGCTATTCTTTCTATGCTAAAATGTTAGAATTTTAAAAGAATTATAATAGAATTAAAATAGAATAAAAAAAGTGAGACAGTTTTACGTGAAATATAGTGAGACAAAACGTTATAGCATAAATAGTTTCAATTAATAGTATCGTAAAAATTTATCTACAGATATTTTTACAATAATAAGTTCTCTATTTTGATTTCACTAACTGAAAAACGATCAGTAGATTTATGAAATAAAACATAACTTTGTTGAAAATTTTATTATTCCAATTGTTTGTGTTTATATTCAACAAATTCCATTATTCAAATCCATGTGTATAATAACAATATCATATGATTACAAAACTTATATTGAAGTAAATATGCCAGTATTATACGAGAATATTTATTGAATTGAGTATATAACGGCACAATAGGAGAAGGAGGAACTCATCATCTGTAATATCACAATAGTTAAAAGTATTGAAGTTCAAAATGATGCTGTATAACAAAAAAAAAAAAAAGAAATTACCGACGTAAAACCTGCATAAGATGGAGTGAATAAACCAGAAAGACCTAATTCACAACCCATTGAGCTCCTCAAAATCATAAACAATAATAGTTTTTGCGCTTTTAACGGAATGCGATACCACGTAGAAGCATACCTGCATATTATTCCATTATTTAATATATTCCAATAAGCGGTATATATTTAATATAACAGATAAAATATGAATTATCTAAACAATATAGATGTAAAGATATAGTAATTATTCGAACTTACAATTCGTTAAATATGTCAAGACTACTATCAATAATTAATTGTCCATAATGATTATTGTAAAATGCGATCATTAAGTGGTACATAACTATAAAAGCAGAACCGAAGATTTCGATTCGATCGTCCATAGTTGTTATTGCATTATATAGCTATTAAATAACCAAATAATATATTTAGTTCTATATTTTCAGTAATAAGTGATCTAAAGAACATCGAAAATTGTTTTACAATTGATATACAAAAGGTGTGCTATATCATGTTAAATGATATTCTTATATTCTTTATATTAAAATGATAGCTTGTTGTTACATACTTTAACTTTTTTAAAAGGCAAGAAAAAAATTAAAAAATTAATTTATTTATTTAATACAATTTTATTATCAAAATTTACTCAAAAAGAAAATTATATCACTGAATTTCCTATTTGATATTTCTATCCGTTTCCTTCCATAATACTTAATATAGCGAAAAAATTTTGAATCTACTTGTGATCATATAATGACATTTTTTTCTAAAAATCGTGTCTATCATTTCTCTGAAGTATCGCGTAAGTCAGTGGGACCATATGCGAGCAAAAAGTCGAAATAAGAAGCAACGAGATAAATAAGAATCAATAAAAAATTACTGTTTCTTTTAAGCGATGATAATTTCGCAAATTGAATCTTATATCACATGTATTAAGAAACATTTTAAAGTACAAGTTTCCGCGGTTCTAATGATCTTTCATCTATGGATCAAGAATAGTTATCTTCGAGATGACAGCTTTCAATTTTTTTTAATTTTAATAGGATTTATACGAGTTTTAAAGTAAATTTCACCTACAACAATCTAAACATCAGTGATATATTAAAGTTTCTAAATCTATGATCTTAGAAATTTTTTAGTTGAAATAAAATTGATAAATTGCAATAGATTAAAAATTACTTACGCGATAAATATTTATAGAGAATGACAATATGCAGACAATAATTGCCAGCAGATATTGTGTCGCTGCATTATTTGTGGCTAATTTAATATATCTTCCAAGTATGACAATATAAAATACGTGAAAAATTAATATTTAAAAATTTATTATTATTACTATTTTTCATAATATTTTAATTTACGAACTTGATTACGTCGTTATGAATGTCCACTACTCGATGTATGTCTATAAGTTTCAAGTCTATTTGCTTGGACAGAGGCATACTGAGATCCTCAATGATTTTTCGTATTCGATAACTAAAAAATATTCGAGATATTGACATATCAGATAAAAATAAATGCAACATAATGAAGTAACTTACCTGGCGATATGAAATTGTCTGCATATATAATAACTAAAAATATTAGTGCACAATTCTGTAGCCATTATACATAATAATCCGAATGACACATTTAACGTGCAATTTAAGATTAAAAAAATTTTAATATACATGCTTTGATCGTCGAAAAGAAACGAGACATTGAAATGAGCGCGAGATTCGTTTAAAGGCATTAAGAAATCCAATATTATCGGATTCAGTAGGAATACGATGCTCGCTGCAATAAAAGCGCAAGTCACGCCTAGAATTTGAGAGAGTTATTTAATATTTCAAAATCATATATAAATAATCTTGGATTTTTAAAATTATTTTCATTTTGATAAAAGAATATAATAACATTTTCAGAAAAAGTTATAATAAAAAGTGAGAAAATAATTATAAAAATTAATTAATATATTGAAAATTGTGAAAATATTGTAGAATATTTCCCGATATTTCTATGTAATATAATTTTTTTTCAATAGATATATAATTACAGATAATTATAGATATATAATATAAGTAATCACAATGACAATAAATGTTGTTTATTGTTAAATAAATTTTACGAATTAATATGCATAAAATAATTTCTTACAACAAAAAAAGTAGATGATATGATTAGAAATATCAAGATATTTCGTTTGTATTTGTATTTCTGTCATATCTTGTAACGAATGTTCTTCTGTACGTATGTTATTGAACAAAAATTCAACCTGTACAAAAAAACATATACATATGTATAAACGTTCGGTGATTGAAATAATTTTATTTTTTGAATTTCACTTACGTATGGAATAATTGTAATATAGTAAATATATCGTAAAAAAAATAGCAGTAGAGGAAAAGTCTCAGACAACGTAAGAATATAATTTCGTAATGTAATTTCAGATTTTAGAAGCACGATAATCTAAAAGATTATATTTAAATTACGATTAAACATGAAAGAAGAAAATATTTTTTTAATCTTTAATTATTCAAGAAATTAATTTTTTTAATATACTTGTTAATTTTGATTATTAAATAAAATCATTTTCAAATAATATTTTTATAGAGAAAAAAATATTTTAAATTTATCTATTAATGTAATTAATAATTTTTGGATTAGCATGTTAAAATAACATATAAATTGTTACTATCGATAAAGAATAATAAAATTTTCATTACCTGAAATATTACACCGCTAAGAAAATACAATAATAAACATATTCTCTGAATCCATACATAGATTGAGTTGTCGTATGGCCATAGTCCTATAATTTTCAACACCATACGATAGATGCGATATTGTTTGTCGAAAACATCCATCTTCCCGGTTAGATATCGACTGCAGTGTAGAATTCGAAAAGTAATTTTTCTACATCTCGGGCTAATATATTATTTACGCGATTATTTTTCTGTCTTGCACTTTCACAATATGGCTTGTCTATAGTAACAGACTATGTAATGTCCAATAATTACGATAAATTGCAATGGATTGACTTTATTCGCACCCTTTGCAAAAAGGCTTCTTCATAATAAACATTGATTTTGAAAAATTTTATCGAAATGAAATCCTTGAGTTTATTTTCTTTGTATCTTCTTTTTTTTGTCATTCTTTTTTCTGTCAAAGTTTATGACGATGAGTAGTATCTTCTGATTATTTCCCGACATAACTTTTTGCTGTATTTATATTCTTTCTGTTGTCATTTTGTTGACGAAACGTGATAGAAAGTAATTGCATTAATTTAGCAATATTAATTATGTCGAACTTTGTATCCGTGCTATAATACATTATCATTTTAAATTGTTGTTTATAGAAATTATCTTGAACGAGCAATTTTGTTTTTAGGAGAATAATGCAACATGGAGCGTGAACGAAATATTTTGAAAAATATAATTTATTAAAAATTGAGGAAATGGATATCATAATATCGATCTTCAGTATAAACTGTAAACGATGATTAATTTAATTTTATTATTACCGAGATAAATTTGTGACGAATAACAAGGAAATCGATACAAGATAATTCGAGAAGAGATATTCATGCAACTTTTGCTTGAACAAATAAGCACGAAGCGGATAAATAATATACAACTGGGATCATCAATTGCATCGAGGTGGAAGAAATTCAGGTATTTATCGTTTTTTAATAAAAACAGAGACAAGAAAAAAATAAGAAGGAGAACCTCATTTTCCTTTTGATCTTATAAACTTCCAACATAATTTATGAAACATACAAATATAGAGATATTTTTAGAAAACGTAATCATTTTCAAATTTAAAGAAGAAATTGTTTCTAATCTAATTGTTAAATATTTTGCAAGAATATTAATTACAAAAAAAAAAAGTATCTCTTCGTGCACAAGGAATATTCGCGGAAAGAAAAATTCTTGGTAATTGTTCGAATTGGAGTCAAATTTCGAAAACGGATATAATGAAAAATTGCACAGTGCCACTATTATTATAAAGAATAAAAACACGGGTATATAAACGCACTTTTGCGTCCACGAAATCGGCGTCCATTATTCCCCGATCAATCCAATATTTTACACTCATTATGCTACGTGGGAAAAAACGTCGTTTCGTTTTATACACCACCGATCTCGAAAGATACGAACGACGATGGCAGGAACACGAATCATCGAGCCTTAAACTCGACGCGAGTAGGCGTATCTATATCGATACTTGGTGCCATGACACTCCTTTCAAAAAGACCCTCGAGGGGTTCAATCGAGAGGCTGATCCTTTGTATTTTACACGGCTCGAGGATGTAATTTTTCTTCTTAACGATCGCTCGATTGTTGTCTCCACCGACGACCGTTCCTGCAACGACGGTGTTTCCGTTTTTTTTTTTTTTACACGCGACATTCGCGAGGAATCAAAATTACAGATATTTCACGGGTATCCTGATTTACGTACGCAGCATTCGTTGTGGTGGAGGCTAGAATTAATCGATTTCTTTATATATATATATATATATATATTACTTTATTAATTTTGTTTTCCTATTATTCGATCGGAACGTATTTATGTAGTTTGGAGG